AATACGTAGTTCGACGTGAGGGATAGCTTCGACGTTACCTAGATCGAGGTCCCGAAGCTTACGAAGTAGCTAGGGAGCTCTGGGAGGTTTGGGGAAGAGTAGCTCACCAAGCGGGTAGGCGTTGGGGAGCTTTAGTAATGTTCGAGGGAGCTCGGGGACTCACTCGGAAGGCTTAGACTTGAAGTAAAAGCGTATATTCGATCGTACAGACGATCAGAGAGACAATAGACAGAAGTAGAGAGAAACAGAGGTAGAGAAACAGAGAGTAAAGAGAAATCCGTATGGTTAGCAGGTACAAAGGGACAGGGACTGGACCTATGCAAAAGGGTGTGTGTTCAAAATATACCAAGCTGGCGCTTGGAGACGTTACGGAGCTACTTAAATAGGTATGGGAAGTGAACAAGGGAACATCGGAACCTAGGGACATGAGGCAGTAGTCGAAGGAGACAGGTGATCGAGATTTGTACTTAATGGGGCTGGTGCTAAGGAGTTTCGTACGCGTGTCGGGAGGTTGTCAGGATAGTCTTGGGGAGGTGCGTATTACCCGTGGTCCTGTCTTGGGGAGGTGCGTAGTACCCGTGGTCCTGTCTTGGGGAGGTCGGATGTCTTGGGGAGGTGTAAGGAAGCATGTGGGATGGTGCTGGGACTGGTTGGTTGTGGTCAGGGCATGACAAACTAGCTCCCGTCGAGGGCCACCCAGATCAGCAACAGAAGCATAACCTTCATAGTTCCGGAGCAAAGATGATTGTGGTGCTTTACTCAAATTGACCACGTTCTTATAACGGCTAAAGACCAAGCCCAACTTGAGGCGTCTAAGGCACAGCAGATGAGGTAGTGAATCACAAGGGAAAGAAAACAAAACAACATACGCGACCGCATTCAATGACAAGGTGGTGCAAAGAAGATCAAAGTCGGCATTCTCAACTTCATGAGCATCAGCAGAAGCAGACGAGTAAGGAAGAAGCTTTGAAGGACTTCGGAAAAAAAATGTAAGAGATAATAAGGAAGAAAAACAAAGCACGGACGGTGGAACCCAGGGAAGACCAAGATAATGATTCTTCATGCAGTCCGGCTGCAAAACTTCATCCAATACGGTACGATTGGTGGAAGTGGTGGAGGCGACTGACTTGACTATAACAGGCGGACTAACAATAAATGACAAAGGGACATGGTTACAAATTACTTGCTACAGCAAGGAAAAAACTTACCTAGCAGCACCGTCATCTTCATCAGATGAAAAGTCGTCATCACTATTGGGAAGGGGTATATCCAAGGCCGAATCAAACGACCTACATCAATAAAAGAATCAGTAGATGAGACAAAGAATGGAATGTGAGAGTCATACAATTTGTTTGTGGTAGAGAAGTCGCCACCAGCTGCATCGGTAGCCTCAGCTACAGGCGAAATAGGAACGGCGCTCCCTGCAGTAGATGGAAAGAGACATTACATAAATTATTCATAATCAGAGGAAAATAGACGGATATTCACTGGTAACAGAATCTTGAGTAGCCACCAAAGGAGCGGTTGTCTCAACGTCCAATGTAGATATAAGAGGGTTCTCTGAAATTTGATGAGTAGAAACATAGAGGTCTTGATGGTAAAACAAAGTATACTCACTGGGTACCTCAGGTGGAATATCGGAAAGGTCAGACTCAGAGGCAGACCCAGAGGTTGAATGTTTAGAGTGTTTCTTGGAAGGGCTGCAAATGTAGAAAGAGATTCAGTACCAGAATTGATAAGAATAGAAGAGAGACCTTTCAGCGTTGAGTGACGGTGAGCGTTTCCTAGGGCGAGTTCTGGCCATTATAACAAAGGGGAAAGAGATACAGATAGCAAGACGGTGACACGCCTAAATTTTGGCTAGACATCTATGTTGTGAATTGTGACATTTTCACGTATAGATTCGTATCAAGAGGACTGTAATTGAGACCCGGATTGACAGTCAAAGTCAATACTGAATCAGTCTAATAAGTTGAAGGGACCATATACCCATACTACCACAAGTTGGTTAGTTTACCCATCCCTGATACTACCTACGGATAGCAGTCTACCTGTTTGTCAAGCAGGATTATACCAGACTCGGACTACATCCGAAGGATGACCATTCACGTATGACATACCAAGGGTATTCTTATTGGACCTTACACTGGCAGGAGTTTGGAAGAACTTACTCAAGTGACCATGAACCAAGGATTGACTCGAAATGACTTTCTAGAACTCAGGAATTATCAAATACTCCTTCTAGAACGAGATCATGCATTAATCTAAAAGACTGTGATTTAGTCTAATAGACCAATCAAGTTGCATGGTTGAGGAAAATGACTAGAAGAACGATCGAAGTACTGCAAGGCTCCGAAGACATATCAAATGAATGTCAAAGAGTCCTGACGTAGAAAACATTGAAGAATGCAATTAAATGAATACTATGCGTAACTCCCTTGATAGAGTATAGGCACAATGGGTGTCTGTTGAAAGAGAGAAGCAATTAGTTTAATCCAGATGAATCAGATTGATAGGATTAGAATCGAGGAGAGCTGATTTGCCTCCGGACGAGGTGACAAACGATCGAAGTAAGTGTTGAACCGCAATGACAGTTGAACACCATTCGAGTCATCCTCCAAAAACAATTAAATTAAATGAATATTGAAGTACCTGCCTATGTTTGGAGGTATACTAGAATCTTGGAACCAATATGGACCAAATAAGGACATGTAGATTCAAATTAAATGGTATCTGACTGAGTGTAGAAGTTTCCTTGCGGTTCCGAACGTTGATTGTATTAAATTAATTGTACTATGCGACTCTATATTCTGTATGTATAAATAGCGATCCGATGTATCTGGAATACAAGTGATTTTGGGACGACGTTGCAGTGCTAATCCGTAAAAAGGAAAGACACACTCCCGCCAGACTGAAACCTCTTCGCTAGCAGCCATTCGGGCCCGGCACTTGTGAGTATAGGAACATTGTGTTCTGCTCCTTGTGACTGCGAGAAGTATATCCAGTTGTTGGGTATTCTTCGAACTTAGGATCAGTCGTTGGTCTTAAGGGCAAATCACGCTGTGTGGTTGTGCCAGCACATAGTTCTAGCCCTCCGTAGGGGTCTGTGTGTTTCGGTTTTAATTTACTTTGATTCAAACCCCCAATTCTTGATATACCCAAATCAATACAAACCAAAGCACAAATCGTGCTGAATCTACCTTGATCAAAGGAATATATCGAATCCTTAGAACGATTCAAATTGATTGATCAAAGCTTCTTACTTAGCTCTCAAAGCTTTGCGGAACCTTTGCCAACGCTACCCCTTGCTATTAAATAAATTTGATAGCAGTGAACTCGCATATTGTGTATTAGATTGGTTGGTTGGAGTGCCCATTAGATTCCTTCCTTTCTCTTTCACACAAAAACGAGGCAAGCTCGTTAACGGGAACAGGTGAGGAGTCAGTTTTAAATAAATCATTGGCAGAGTCTGACGACAAAGCCAAACAGAGATATATTGAAAGAAAAGAAGAAGGTAACGAAATTGAGTCAAGAAGAACATTGCCAAGTACAGAAGTAATGCTGACAGCTAAACCATAGAAGCATAGAAGAATACCAAAAATGTTCTAGAGCAAGTAAAACCACATTAGACAGGAGGTAGAAGCGGAGTAAATAAAAAGAATAACCAAAATTCATTGCTGAGTGAATATTCAAGTGGCGTATACATATTAGAAGACCTTAGATCCCAAGGTAGTTTGGAGTCCCTGTCAGTCTCGGCGAAAGAATGACACCCACACTTGTAATATTCAAGAGGTGTATGGCGGTGTATGCATATTGGAAGACCTAAGATCCAATGTAGCATGAAGTCAGTGTCGGTTTCAAGAATTCATGTGCAATGTGGGATGAAGGATGTCAAGGTTGTAGAGGATCTGGTGAAACCGAAGAGTGAAAAGCAGCATCTATGAACCAGATATGAATTAGAATTTTACATACAGAGGTAAAGAAAAGAACAAAGAAGTGAGGAAGAGCTGACAGCTGTAAAAGCAAAGCAGCATGTACACCTTCGAAGTTCAAAAATCAAAATCCCGAGGACAAGGAAAACACTTCCAGAGGGACTGGTGAAAGACAACTGTACTGACAGCTGTAAAACCAAAGGAGCAAATATACGTGGTAGGACCAAAGAATCCCGAGGACAGGGAAAATGTTCCAGAGCAAGGGGAAAATTAATCTAGAGCAAGTGGCAAATCTTTCCTTAAGAAAAATGGAAGTGAAATGGAGGACAAAGATCCAAGAGAAGGTCAACTTACTGACAGCTATTAGCAGAAAGCGGTGAATACATGTTAGAAGGACAAAAAATCCGAGGATGAACAAGATATGACAGCTGTAGCACAAAGCGGCAAATACACATTAGAAGGACATAATTTCCGAGGATGAGCAAGATATCCAGCAAGAAGCGAGACAGAACAGCTAAGGGTTCACGATAAGCAAATCAGAAAAGAAATTCCTACCCATCGACTCTACCTACCCGAGAAACCATGGATAGTAAAGGATATGATGAAAATCAAGCGAGTAAGTGAGTGGTAAGTGTGGAATAGCAGTACTATTCACAACATAAATGACAGGGGAAAAGGTTCAAGAACTTGCTGAGCAGAGGTTGCAAAATAAATATGCGCCGTTTCACCTAGCAAATTTAACACTGGTGAGCAAGTGCTTGTTATCAAAACCTAGCTAAAGACATAATATAAACGGTAGGAGCCTGAATGGCAAGCGCATAAGATGATTGCAATGAATATAGGTATACCTGTGAACTGGCGATTGGTTGTTGATGGGGATCGAGGAGTGGAAGAAGTAGTGGTGGCAGTACAGGGGGTGATCGTTGGGATAGATTTGCCACCAATGAATATAGGGGGCGGCAACCTGTAAGTAATATGGGTGATGCAGGTTTATTCCAAAGATTGACTTGACGAAACATGAATAGGAAAAAGAAGGCAACATTTTTGAAGCAAAGTATCGAAATATGCGGCTTTGGAGGGCGTGCATTTGAAGATGCGGTGTTAACAATCGAAGATATTGATACACTATTTAGTAGGCAGGTGAAAGATGAGCAGATGGATCGCACCATTGTTACTGGTCAGTACAAGGAGTGGAGGACAATAAATGTAGGAAATCGGCTCTTCACAGCAAAGAATGCAGCACAGGGACAAGCACAAATTCCTTTTGGAGCAGGAGTGGACGACAAAGGTGATATGGCAAAGATAGGAGGGGGTACACATGTTCATATAGAGGAAAACCGAGTACACTATTTTGAACGCAAGATGGTAGGGGAGGAAGTCAGGTAAGGAAAATTATCGCATCCACTCCAAGTTGTTATCGACCAAACTGCTGGCCAGATTTGACCAAGTACAGCTGGTACTATTCAAGAAGGGTGATATCGTTGAAGTGAAGATGTCTATGATGTTGATAAAGATCATTAACAAGAAAAAGGAGGAACGATACCGCACAGTAGCAGTTTTGAGAAGTATAACTTTGTTCGATGGCACCTTGACAGAGGTGAGCCCTGGTGTCACATAGATATGGGTAGAATGACCTAACGATATATAGGAGGCCCAAAGAATCAATCAAAGGAGATATACAACGGAAACAAGGCAAATCAGAAGGAGGGTGGACTACAAAATGGAAATGGAAGGAAGCAGGCGTATGGATGACTCTTAGTGCACTCAGTAATAAAGATTATACTGGAATTAGGAAGAATCACTTGACATAATGATGAAAATTCAGATAGATAGCTCCGTCCAAGACTGGTAGCTTGGTGACCAAGCCCTCTAAGAGAATAATCAAAAAGTTTGATTAAAGTTCGCCTGCGGGGCGGAACCTCGATAGAGCAAGACTGGGACCAGTGCAATAGATAGCAAATAAGCAGATCGCAAAAGCATCACACGTATTATGTGTGAAGATGAGGGTCAGAAACAGCCACACAAGGAAAATCTATGGAACTTGAAGTGCATCATTATATTAGAAGACATACGTATGGTAACGAAAACAATCAACAGATTTGGTTAGTGGAAGTAGCCAGTACATTACTAGGATTCAAAGCACGGGGACAAACAATACTAAGAAGAGAGTGAGAACAATAAGACAGAAATGAAACAAGAAACATACTGAGCAAATGCCTCTTCACCTATGGATGTATCAGAAGCAAAAGTAGGGATTAAAGTACGAGTGAGAGGTATGTAAATACCAGGAAACCTCCAAAGAGGAGAAAAACCCATAGCGTGATTACAAAATACAGAGGTGCAGGAATCAATCCAAACAGGATCAGGAGAGGAAGTAACAATCAAAGCAACATTGTCAGTGTTTGGCAAAGGATAAGTGCAGTAATAGAAACGACGGTAGAATGTAATGTATGGTGAACATTTGATTGCATCAAGAATATCAAAATATGGGAGGCGGCCAGTTAACGAGATGCGAATGCAAGCGACATGCATAGCTGGAGAATCCGGGTGGAAGAGGGCAATATCACAGGAATATTGATGAGGCTGACAAAAAAAGTCAGACACCAACACAAAAGAAAGTAATGCACACAAACATAGAGGGGACCATGAACGTAATCATGGATGCAAGATGACAACACATAGTCAAATAAATCCTGATACTCCTCAGACTGACGGTCCGGAATCGGAGCAGGAAGGCGGTTGAGGCGACTGGCCAAGGAAGAAACAATGGGTGATAAAAGGACAGGAGGTGGGAGATGATCAAGAGCCAAGATAAAGCGGTCGTCGAAATTGAAAGAAGGGAGATGGGTCACACGATGAGTATGTCTGGCAGAGATATCAGTTGAAGACATAAACAAAAACAAAACACGTACAGTCTCAACCGTTGACAGTGCTTAACAATAGCATGGGCCATGTATTCAGTAGCATCATGAGCATTCCCATGGTCATCGAAAGCAATACCAACAGAGGAAGAGGACCAAGGGCAGGTAAGATGAGCAGTTGGATTGACAAAGGATGATGAGCCGTGATGACGACGAAAAAGATGCATATGCAGATGATCAGCATTGGCATTGAATTTGACAATTGATGAAATAAGAACACGTGAAGACTCCAGTAGGTAAGGAGAAAGTGTTGCAGAAAGTTCAAAACGGCAACTGCGATCCTGAAGTACATCAGGGATGGTGATGTGAAGTTGAAAGAAAACGAGGTAAATCCTGGCAGAAGGATTATCGAAGTACAAAACTCGGACTAGCTCTGTATTTTTCTGAGAAGATGGGTGAATAACATAGAACGAAGAAAGGGAAAAGGAAAGGCATACAAGAGGAGCTAGTTGAACAGATGCAGAAAGGCACTTGATGTACTCAATACGACGCATGGGGGAAAAGGGGGGAATGTGAGAATGGGCGAAAAAAAAAAATAATATTAAATAAGGGATGCATCGAAGGGGAGAGCGTAATCGAAGTAACAATTTTGACGGAGTTTCAGTTGAAGGACAGGAAAGCAAGAAGGAGAGAGGAGGAAGGAACGAGAGATGACAATTACGCCAGGATTGTTGCTGACATAAGTAAGACTAAAAAGGGGAAGAAACTCTCACGTCTTAACGCAATCAAGAGGATGGATTTTTGCCGCCATAAGAACGACTTCTATAAATAGAACTCGTAATGAAATGTAGAAGAATGTAGATGCCATACCTCAATTGACTTCCCACGGCAAGATGGCCGAGTGGTTAAGGCGTGTGACTCAAGTTATTTCATTAACTTCCTAATTCTCATGGGCGAATGTCCGCGTGGGTTCAAATCCCACTCTTGTCATTTTTTTGAGCCCTTATGTACGATCTATGATCTGGAGTTGGTTGTGTTTTTTTGTTGTTGTTGTAGTTTGCTGTTGTAGTTTTGTTTTAGTTTTGGATATGAAGTTCATAGATAGATAAATAGATAGTAGGTGGTCAGTGGTAGGTGTCCCAGAATAGAACAACTGGTCTGACGCTCGATGGATCCAATGGCTCTAAGCAAGGATGAACGTTGAACTCGAACTTGAAGGTATATTATCCTCTGAAAGTCAACGTATACGTCTTGTAGTAGTCTCATTTCCATCCTACTTCAGAAATTATCAGGAGGGTATTGGATGTACTATGTAGTGACTTCCGTTTATGTTTGATAAACTCCCAGTACATTTGATAAACTCCTAGTACATCCCTCTTTGATATCAGCTGGTTGATTGGACGTTGACCCCCCTCCCTCCCTCCCTTATCGATATCAACCGATAATCGGTTGAACGTTGACCCCCCTCCCTCACCGACCCCTCATCGACCCCCTTCCTCATCGGTCCCCTCCATGGCGTCGTTGTTGAAACGATGTACATACTTATCGACCACTATTTCCGACCCGATTTCGACTGGGTTGTCGAAAGATTGAAGGATCATCGGAACCAAATCGATGAAGTACCTTTAGAAGGTACTATGTAACCACTAAGTAACCGCTGCGGTAGAAAGAGACGTGCGTGCGTGAATAAGAAGTGCGTGCGTGAATAAAAAGTGAGTGGGTGAATAAAAAGTGAGTGGGTGAATAAAAAGTGTAAGTGAGGAGTGCGTCAGTGAATAAGTGAGGCCTCAGAGTTCCAGATAAAACAAACTCACTATACTTCGGCCCACCCCCGCCCTCCGGGACAGTCCACGTTATATCCTGCGACGGGACTTTGATATCACAGAGTTTACAGTGTATGCAGTTTTGTGCGTTGATTACGAGTTTTTTGCCGTTCCAGGATTCGCCGTCGCTGGCTTTGGCTTCACTAACTTCACCTTCACCACTACCGCTGCCTTCACCGCTGCTGCCTTCACCACTACCGCCTTCACCGCCTTCACCTTCACGGCTGTGCGGAGGTTCCTGTCCAGTAGTAGAGTGGTGATTATCATCATCGACATCGACATCGACGTACTCATACACACCCGCGGGACACGCTCTAGCGAGTAACCCCGCGTACTCGCCGATGTTTATTTTGGTGTGGGCTCGGCGGAGGGAGGGGGGGGAAGTTACTTTAGGGATGAACAGTGTATCTTCCGTGGTTTCCGTCTCCGTGTCTTCGGTTTCCGATTCGGTTTCCGCGGTCCCTTCTTCGTGGATCTCGCTGATCCTAACATCCAATACAGATTCACCACCTCCAAAACCTCCAAAATCGGTGTCGGAGGAGGAGAGAGCAGCAGCCCCTGGTCGACCGAGGACCCTCAGATGTTCTGGTTGGTCTTCTTCGTGGGAAGTACCGGTCAACATGAGTGAAGTAAGGAGGTCCGTGGACAGGGGTGGGTCGAAGGGTGGGTAGGGGATAGGGGTGTGGGCGGTGGATGGATCGGTTCTTAGGGAGTCTAAACTCCTTCCTCCATCCAAACTCTCCCTCCTCTCTTCCTCGTTCTTAGTATGTCTAAACGTCCACGGTGTTCTCCCTTTCAACAACAACGTATCCACGCCAGAGTACAACACACCCCCGAGGACACCGAGACCGCGTTTCGAGAGCACCGACGAGGAGGAGAAGGAGGGGCGTAGGTTTCGGGTTTCGTGCAGCTCGGTGTGGATCCATGAGGAGAGGAAGGAGGTGGTGTAGGGGGATGTATCTATGGGGTCGTTTTCGTTAGCCTGTTGTTGACACCCATCCCAAACACCCTGGGCAGCGAGGATCCCCATCCCCATTGCGGTGTGCACGCCTTTGATCTTCGCGACGTTGACGGTGCCGGCGGCGTCCCCGATGAGTGCGCCACCCGGGAAGTGCAGAAGGGGGAGCGATTGGAGACCGCCTTCCGTTAGTACACGTGCGGCGTATGCGATTCGCGTTGCGGGGGATAACAAACGACGGATATACGGATGATGCTTCATCATTTGAAAATCCCTATACGGGCTCCGATACGGGTTTTCCCAGTCCGCGCCCACGACGAGACCGATAGACAGGAGGTTGGCATCCATGTGGTATACCCACCCCCCGCCGTAGGTGTTTAGATCTAGTGGGAAACCGAGAGTGTGGGTTATGGACCCGGGGGTGTATAGGGGGTGGGAGTCGGGGAGTCGCCAGATTTCTTTGAGGCCGAAGCCGTAGGTTTGGGGATCGCTTTCGTTGCGGAGGCGGTATTTGGTGATGAGGGTTTTGGTGAGGGACCCGTGGGCGCCTTCGGCGAAGAGGGTGGTGCGGGCACGGAAGAACATTCCGGGTTCGTAGGTTGTAGTGGATGAAGGGTGTTTTGGGATCCCGACGTCGTTGGTTAGGATTCCGAGCACTGCTGGTGCACGGGGCGGCGGCGGCGGCGATGATTGTGGTGATTTCGGTATTCCAATCCTCGTCACCTCTCTATCCCACCTCCCCTCCCACCCAACCCACGGACTCTGATACCCCTCATCACTAAACACCACACCCGCACCCGCGAACCCCGGATAAATCTCCACCCCATAATACTCTTCCGCGACTCTCCCTAGCCACCTCGTCAACGCACTCAGCGAAATAACGAAATTCCCTTGATTGTTCATCTGCGGGGGGTGGGGGATGGGATATTTGGATTTTTCGGTTAACCAGAGCATGTGGCTTTGTCCTGCTTTGACACCGAGCGGGGGTTGACCGCAGTTGTAGATCTGTTCGTATTGAGACGGGTCGGGACCTAATAAATCATGGAGAGCTCGTGGTTCGAGGACACAGCCGGAGACGATGTGGGCACCGACTTCGCTGCCTTTTTCGAGTACTACTACACGGAGAGCTGCAGAGGAAATGATTTATTGAGAATATTGCTAAAAATAGGCGGGAACGCACATTGTGACGACCCAGCTTCACGCTCAAGCTGCTTCAACCGTATCGCTGCAGCCAACCCCGCAGGCCCAGCTCCTACAATCAACACATCACAGTTGTCTACCGCGCGTGGAACTGTTCTTCTGTTCAGCGCTGCGCTCGGTGAGCTGGAGAATAAACGTCGTTGAAGGCGTTGGATTCGATTCATTCTGAATCTCAGACACCTTGTCCGTGTTACAGTAAAGAAAACGAAGACCCGGCTATAGGTTTGTTGGGCGTCTAAATCAATATACGGATCATGTAATGCCGGAAGTGCGGCATTTCATCTGCCTTGGTTATCTTGGCAACTTGATTGCGCAGCACATACATAACGCGTCATGTCGTCAGAGCAACACTGAGCAACCAACCTTGTCGAGTACTACCAAGTACAGTCTCTCGAAATAACATCCCTATTTCTGCTCTATGAGTCGGTTTACACAATATTCAGAAGTGAGCTAGCCATTTAGCTAGTTAAATATTTATTGACCTTGTATGATACGATACAGGACTCCACCCGCCTCCCAGTAGGACTCCAACGCATCGCCTACGATGCCGACACCCAGCAATACACATTCCGAGACGAGAACGGGAGATTGTACTACTCTGCGTCGGGGGAGTCGTACGGCCACTTGACAAGTGCTGGGAATGGGAGTGCGGCTCGGGCTAGTGAAGTCCCGATGACTGAACCGAAACCAAAACGGTCTCAAACTTCCCCTTCCCCCCCAACACTCCCCGCTCCGAAATCCTTCTACGACATCCTCCCCCCGGAATCAATCGCCTCCGCTGGGTCTACCACGTCTCTCAAGTCTTCTCCTTCCCCTTCTTCCCCTTCCTCCTCCTCCTCTCCCACATCCCCTTCCTCCTCCCCCTCCTCCGCATCACCGCGTTCCACGCCATCTCCCCGTTCCAGGTTCATCGCAGCCGCAAAACGGTCGACGATCCCCCGGATGCCGCGGATGCAGAGTGTTGTGCAGGGGTTGATGAGGAGGGAGGTGACGGTGGGGAAGAGACGGGGTGAGCAAACACGTACATATCCATCTGGGCATCGAGATCAAGATGGTGGTGGTGATGAGGATGAGGATGACCGGGCTGGGTTGTTAAGAACCCACTCGGTGGTGAGCCGTTCGAGTACGGTGAGGACGAGTCAGTCGTCGGGGGTTACGCTTGTTGAGGAGACGGGGGAGGGGTGTTGATAGTCCACCCGAGAGTGGAAATGGTTTGGGTACATCACCAAACGAGGATGAGGAGGGTGTTTGAGGATGATGAGTCTGTATATACAAGGAGAATAATGTACCAATATGTACAACTCGGATAAAGTAACTGTCGTATGTATGTATGTATGTAAAACCAATATTATACATAAAAGTTGGACACAACATATGTACCAGAAATCCAACTGTCAAAACAAAACAAAAAACTTGCTTTTCTACATTCTACATTATGTATCCAGTCCTCAGGGCCTCAAATACCAAACAGGGACTCATCTTCCTCACCAACGACCTGCTCCTCCTCCTCCCCAGGCGCCTCTACAGCCGTACTCTCCAAAACCCCAACCCCAACCTCCTCAACCTCCTCAACATTCGAAACCACCACCATCCTCCGATCCAACTCCACCCTAAACCCATCCCTCTCTCTCTCCAAAAACCTCACCCTCTCCTCCATACCCTTAATCTCCCCCACAAGATGCATATTCGCGTTAACCTGCATCAGCAACTCGTTTGAGATGTGTTTCCGTGCGCATTCTGATGTGTGGAGGTTTTGTTCTGATGTACGGAGTTTGTCTTTTGAGACGTGGAGGTTTTGTTCTGATACGCGGAGGTTTTCTTCTGATGCGTGGAGGTTTTGTTCTGAGACGTGGAGGGTTTCTTCTGATACGCGGAGGTTTTCTTCTGATACGCAGAGTTTGTCTTCTGATGCACAGAGGTTTTGTTCTGATACGCGGAGTTTGTCTTCTAATGCTTTTTTCTCGGTGTCCCCTGTCATCACTACGTGTCGGAGGTGGGTTACCTGTGCGTGAGATTCTTGAAGGTTCTTTGAAAGGGCGGTGTGGGTGTTTTGGAGGTGGGTGAGGTGGGTGAGGTGGGTACGGGACTCGGTTTGGGCATCGTGCATCTGGGATTGGAGTGCGGTGGTTTGGGATTGGAGATAAGTGTTTTGCGCTGTGAGGTCTTTTATGCGTTGTTCTTTCTGTTCAAGTTCTTTGGAAAGCGAGATTATCTTGGTTTCTGTGTGGAGTTGGACTGTCTCATCATCACGTCCCTGGACCCGAAGCAACTGCTTAGAGGTCTCCGCAAGTCTATCCTCCAACTCCTTGTTTCTTCTTCGTTGCTCTTTTAATTGTTCTTTATACACCTCGCTCTTGTATTTCTGCTTCCCGAGCATGGCATGGAGCCTCATGCATTGATTGGAGGATGAAGTTGAAGTTGAAGTTGAAGATGAAGATGAAGTTGAAGATGAAGTTGAAGATGAAGATGAAGTTGAAGATGAAGATGAAGTTGAAGTTGAAGATGAAGATGAAGATGGAGATGAAAAGTCCCCCAGTACCGGGGGTACCAGAGCTGTCGATGATGGTCGTTGACCAGCCCGATTAGCAGACCTGGATTGCAAACTCAATGACAACGACGACGACGACGACGACGACTGCCGCGCATCCAGCACTCGCGCTATTGTCCTCTCCGACTGTCCAGGTGGTAAATTTTGATTTTGGTTTAGGTTTTGGTTCTGCGAGAGTCCGAGTCTGGGTTGCGAGATTCGATTATCATTATTATTATTATTATCATTATCAACACCCTGCATCGAACTTGAAGCACCGCGAGTATTCTGAGTATTTTTCGTGTTCTGTATGTAGTTGTACCGTTAGCCCTCCAATCCATCCGGAGATAATCGACGACAGTCGATGATGAATTTTTTGAATACTACACCTTGACAGAGTCGTGGACTCTCCTTAGCTCTCTCCTTGGTGTTCATGTTTAGCACATTGTTCAAAGGTAACTGCGGAGGAGGAGAGGGAGGGGGAGGGGGAAACTCAAAATGAGACGGGGATGTAAGTGTTCTAGGGATCTTCGAGGGATTCGTGGTCGCATTGATGAAGTCAAGCTCCGAGTCGTTTGTCTGCGTCAGAGTTCGTTTAGACATTATCTTTTTTTTGACTTTCTAGTCACCACTCTTGAGTCTACGTGAAAAAAAGTATGTTAATCATTTGATTTTTTTTGTGTGTGTGTTGCAAGCTGGGATTTGGCTGGGAAACTTTGCATACGTACTTTGCGAGTTGTAGTGTTATATACAGTAAAAGGTTCGCCCGAGTTACAGTATGTTACAGTACAAAGAAGAATTAACGGAAATCCGAAAAATTAAACGAAAAAGTTGTTCGTGGCTCGTGACCGCGTCTTTCTCACGGTTGTGTCCATTAAACAGAAACTTGTTATAGCCTGTTATAGCATGAGTACCTTCTAGAATATTGGAAGTAATAACTGAGGGTATACGCAAATATATATATGCAGACCGCCGTCTTCAGCAAAGCTTTCACTACCGCAGCAAGAACCACCAATCTACGATCCTCCTTAACATATTGACACACAAAGTCAAACCTTTCCAATACCAATACCTCACGTACTGGTACTCCTCCTTGAGATACTAGAAAGACGAACAACGAGCGGGAGAAGAGATCCGTTCTCGCTTGAAGCGTAGAATTGAACACAGTCCAAGAATACTTTGAACCTAGCAGATGGGCAAAAGGGGTAGGGAAAGAAGAAGGAAAGAAGAGGGAAAGAAGAGAGGGAAGGAGACAAACACATGATTGAGTCGACATAGGAAGAATAAGCTCATCCACGGGAGACATACCAATGATCGAAATTTTTCTCAAACTTTAGTTGATATTCCCATCTTCTCCGTTGTCCTTCAGCCGTCTCCGTCCCGGATATCGCCTGATTGGCAGACTTGGTATACGGCGCGGCGTACAATGCGAACGTGGCGCAGGTTACGATGAGTTTGTTGTATGCCTGTAAGGGAAGAGAGAGAAAATATTATTATTATTAACGAAAACGAATGAAAACAAAACAAAACAAACCTTTAAAAGCTTCGCACTAGTTAACATACACTCCTTCAAGCACGTATCCAGAAAATCTAAATGGTCCCTTAACAGTTGATCGACTGTCGTCACTTTATCCAGCTTGACCTCTAATGCACGCCAATTCGGTTCAAGCACCTCGAATGTCGCGAAGGAGAGGATTTGTTGTATGAACGCGAGCATGCGCGCGCGGAGGAGGAAAACCCGGAGACGCCATTTCTCGAATTCGGGTTCCGAGGAGGACGAGGAGGAGGGAAGGGAAGAAGGGAAGGGGGAGGGGGAGGAACTGGATTCAGCAGGAGTGGTGGGAATGGGGGTGGAGGTAGGGGTGGAATTGGAATGAGAGCTGGAGGGGCGGAGGGTATGATGTACGCGTTGCCGCCACGGCGTTGTCTTTTGTTCGATCCACATCAGACCGAGGGATTGTTCGACGTTCTTCAGATGCAGGAGGAATCGGAAAATAAGTTGATACCGGAGGATGGTTTTACGTGAGATAACGAGGGAGAGGGGGAACTTGACGTGATAATCGAGCGCAAGGGTGTCAGAAGCTGTTCGAAATAATGAAAGTTCACAATACTAGAGTTGGATGGATATTGAGAGGCTTACCCAATAACGGTTTCTTATCATCTTTCTGTTCCTTCTTTGCTTCCTCATTTCCAACCTCATTCTCCCCGACCCTCTCACTACCTAATCCGCCCGTACTAATAATCTTCATCAGCCAATCGTACAACCCACTCCCCGCCATGACGACTTTGACGTCCTCGCGGAACATCGTGTCTTCTCTTTCCTCTGTGTTCAGGGTCAATTCGAGTAGACTCTGCAGTTTCACCAACGACGCTGATCGGGTAGATTTTCGAAGTTCGTTTGAGGCGAGATCGAGGAGGTGTGTGAGAAAGAACGATTGGGAAAGGAAGAAGTAGCGTTTGAGAGAACGGAGACGGGGGATCAGGTCTTGGTCTTTGAGCAGGAGTTGGAGGAGGGTTTGGTTTGCGTGTGTGTAGGCGTCTTCGAGGAAGGTGTAGAATCTTGGATATAGAACGTAAAACACCCAATCAATGTATAATTGCATAAGCTTTACCTTTCATCGTTCATGGAAAACGTCTCGTCGTGGGGATCATTCTGCGCTCGGTGGATTTCGATTCCACATTCTCGTATCACGTTCAAGTATTTGCCCGCGAGTAAGATCTTGTGTTTCCACCCTTCTAAAAGCGGAGGAATGCATGCACCACCGGGTAGGCGTCCACCAGCAGAACGTGGTAAGGGTATTCCTGCTTTGTGCCCTTTTGATCCTGAGATTGTGGAACCGTCGCGAAGCTGATAAGTTCTATGAGAGGGTAATTGCAGTGAAAGTTGCGTCAAGTACCGTATACCTCCGCTCCCAATACTCATCGGTGTAATCCATCTCCAATATCCCTCGATTGATGAATTTGCTCTCCTTCACCATCAACTCCTCATACGGATCCACGAGCCTCCCGGTCATCACCCACTCCTTGAGCATATTCACGTAAGGTGTCCCAGCTTCCCGTAAAAGTGTAGCATACACCATATTCGCTGTCGGATCGCCCGACATACTCTGCATCCGCTCGTATATTATCGATAAGACCTCACCGCCCTTGACGGGTATTCCTGCACTGGATGTCCCAAGGCCATTCTCAGATAATACTGATTTGAGTTTTGCGGTTCCTATACCAAGAGCCTCGTTTCGGGCTTCTTCCTCTGCATCGGAGGTACTTGGGCTGTTAGAAGACGAGGAAAGATCTGCAGAGGGATCATCGGCTGTGCCGAGTTCGAGGGTGAGTTGATAGATTATGGAAAGGGTGTGAACAGTGGGATGAACGTAGAACCAAAGCTTCTGGAGCGAGAATTGCGGGGAGGTGTTGAACGAGTGTTCTAGTTGCGACAGAAGGGTTTGATAGTCCTACAACAAATGAGACGGGAAGCAGACAAGAAAATAGAAAGAAAACTTTCCGTACTTTGAGCATATCTCGTATTGCTGCACAGAGTGCATGATTGACCAATCCGTAGTCCAAATGACTGCGATGTTCAATAAAGGCCGATATCCCAGTATAATATGTTCCTAGAGGCAACAGTCGCTCGACGAGGTTGCGTACAGAAGGATCTAAACTTATCACATGAGCCCTAGAGCATTATCTGGATGGAATCAACGTGACGGACCTAGTGAGGGTTCCACTACGAATTTCACACCTTGGATAGGATCATCTTCATCTGGAGAGTAGTCTGGATGGAATCGAATATATTCTCCTTCAATACCCTAGTGTTTCATTCAGTGAAAGGTATAGAGATATCAGGCACTGTACGTACCATTAGCACGTACAAGAGATCTTCGAGTATTAGAGTTTCTTGTATGTCTATTGGAATGTGATCTAAACTTTCTTGCTTGGCCTTTCCCTTGCTGTTTCCAATTGCATTTCCTCCCAAGCTCACGCGAGAATTCAATGGTGCCTTGACGAAGGATGTTTCGGCGATGAAAGATGGCTCCTCCCAGTCTCTGCCTATCTCATAATTCTCATTAAACAATCGAAGGCAACAAAGGAAACGTGATGTTGACCAGTATGAGAATGTCGCGACGAAGATCCATGTACGCGTCCGTTGAGTTCTCCATCAATATCATCTTGTTGAAGCCGATGTCGACGTACTGAGGCAATTGTTCCTGTTATCTGTGCGCGAGTCATCAGTCTATCATCGAAATCCTGAGTAGCAACAGCGCACTTTGGAATACTCTCTTTGGGAGAGTGTAATATTTTTCTTCCGTGCTCCGGTTTGTGTTCGAGGAGTGTATGGTTCCATGCGGAGTTCCTAAAAAAAGGATGTAGGTACCACGTAGAATTTCTGGACGGTTCTGTTTTTTGAACGTCGAGCTTGGAAGAAGAAGAGATTATTAGGGCTGCTCAATTCTTGCCTCACCTCACCTCACCTCACGAGCTGTCACGAAATTCCGCTTTTGGATGTCCGATTGATCGGTACCATATGTGTAATTTACAGTAGTTGCAGCAAGACTTTATATTCATTATGCCTCAGATTACTTGTGCAGAGGTGCAGAATGAGTTGTTCAACATCGCGCAAGCCTTTACTGTTGCCTCTCACCTCATGGAGGATTCCGATGACTCCAATGATGATTCCTTTCAACTTAATGATGGCTTTGATGATGAAGAAGCACAAAATTTCGATGAAGAATTTACTGATAGTGTTGTTGTAAGGTAGGTGTACTAGCTACATACCATCAATGAATGAAGATGAACCAGACAGTCTTGTCGAACCTTGTCGAACGAAAACGAGAGGATGAAAACGAGAAAACAAGGCGACGGTAAATCAGCCCGGATCAATCAGACATCCAAAAGCGGAATTCCGTGACAGCTCGTGAGGTGAGGCGGTGAGGTGAGGCAAGAATTGAGCAGCCCTATTAGTTGGATCTGCCATGCCGATGGCTTGGCCTTTCGGCACTTCACGGATTAATTGGTACCAGACGTTGACCCTTTTTTTCGGTCTGACATTATCAGTCTAGTAATACGGACTCACAATTATTCTCCCAAAAGAAGACATACGTTGATATTTTGTTTGAATCGGTTGTACACTAGCATTCGGCTCACAGATGTGAACGTAATCAAAACTTTATACTCAAGCAGTATTTGGATATTATTAACGTCGACACTGGTTCTCAATCACTTTTGACCCGTTCGTAACCTCCAGATCCGCCTCCGCCTCCCCAACCGAACCAGCTAGGCCGACTAGTACTGGGCAATCCGGGCCTTGGACCGTACTCATGTCCAACCCCAGACTCATCTTCTTCATCGAGATCATTTGAATTGATCTCTTCAAACCTTCCGCCAGGTCCTACATTCGACGTCGTACGTTCTCGCAGGCCAGGTGTACGACCAGTCGGTGAGCTCGATGCAGACGAAACAGCAGATGGGGTCGAGGAAGTCGATGGGCCAAGCATCGATTGCATTTGCATGCCGGGTATTTGTGGTATGGGAAATGGAGGAGGAGAAGCACCAGCAGCGGAGGCTTCGCCGGCATTTAGAGCGGCCAATTCAGCTTCAAGTTGCCTCCGTCTTTCGATAATCGATTGAGTTGTCGACATCCGGGAAGAAACTGGTCGATCTTCGGGACCGACATCGTATCCCATAGGCTGAGGAGCCTGACCGGGTGCATTCGCAGGTGCGAGTTGTCTGTACATCGAAGCGCCAACTGCTAATACATTCGGTCCATATGTGCGCCAGAACCCAGCAGCTAACTGCGCCGGACCTGATATTGGGTCGGCCAGTGTAGGAGGTTGAGCAGAAGGCTGGGCTTGTGCAGCTGGGGTTGCGGCAGAAGGGAATGCTTGGCCTAGAGCAGTTGAATTTAGTAGAAGCTCCCAAACATCTCTCAGCTTGGTCTGAATAAACTCGTATACCCGCTTGCGCAGCTCCTCTAATGCTCCATCAACTTCTGTCTCGTGCGACGAAAAATAAGGAGCAAGCAACTGGTCATAGACGTGCGTAGAGCCATCCGTTTGCGGAAGGACAAGGTAGGATAGCACGATGAGTTTGAGAAGGCCGTATAATGGCAGCCAGGAAATGAGGAGTTCTGCTCCGGAATATTCGAAGAAGGTGAAAGTCCCAAGGACACACCAGTATTTGAGAGCACGTTCAAGCAGAGGAAGAGGTGTTGGTCGAGTTGAAAGCAATTTGTAGGATATGTAGGCGGGGTAAAGGTATGTTAAGATTGAACTTCAAGATGCAATATGAGGGCGGCGAAGTAGCACATAGCGACATGAGAGGAACGCACCTAAATATTCGTGAAAATAGATAGAGCAGCATCTTATAGGGCGTCGTCTTTGGTCGATAATGGTATTCTCCTGATAATTCCCCTAGTCTAGTCACAGCTGTGGAAGATTATTGAAAAGTTAGAAGCGCTGGAAGCTTTTCACTGCTTGATTTCGCGAGTAACAGCCTGCAACAGCAATGCAAAATAGCAGAAATAAATACTCGAGGAAATCTTTGAAACACGGAAAACGCGTGTATCGATGGGCGAAATAAAGCAGGTGTAATTACGTCACCACGTACTTTCTTTTGTTTTCAACCCACGAAGATCAGGAATGGAAATTGCAACCTATCGTCCTTGAAACAAGTCGCGGTACTTGCAGATGGTTCTCGTTAGACGGCGTCAAGCGTGAAAAGCAGCGCTTGTGCGAAATAACCCTTCAGACCCAGCTCATGCAAGCTTTGCGGTTTGTTGGTGGATGTACAGTCGTCTCCGAGGTCGTAGGTGTATCCGTTGAATACGTGGTCCCACCGATATCTAGGCCTCAAACTCAAGCTCAAGGGCCCCTAGTGAAATCTTTGTACTCGATTACATTTCTTGAAGAACCAAGGACCCATAATCTCGAGATTGTCCAACTTTACAGCTCAATTATATGTCCTCTTATTTGATCCATAATCATATTAATATCAGTACCGTCCTGTACCATGCATTCATTTTTCTCCGTAAGTGAGCTATGTGTATGAGCACGTACTCTTAATCACCTTCGACAGAACAAATCTGCCACGGAGTCGGACCATCCTGGACTCCAAGTTCTCTCCCCGGGCATTTCCTATCCCGACTGAATGTAACTCGCAAGATATAAGAGCAATGCTCGTGGATTCCTTTCTTTCTGTCGCCTGGAATTCTGATTTCTAGCTACTTCGCTGGAGTTGGTCTCTTCTACGAAATCGTTGCAATGTTTTTCTCTATGTGCTTATCTATCCTACTACTGTCCCTCAGCACATACGCCCTGCCTACGAATGTTTCCGCTCTTGATGAGCGTGGCTTCCTTGACAAGCTTACTGGAAACGACCATCGTAATAGGATATCGCTTCGTTGACCAGGTGGGCTAACCCGCATGATATCGAGACTGTTCGTTACTGACACTATCACAGAACCAAGCTTTATCCGAGTATAATCGTTTCAGAACTGTTCGAGCTATCCTAGCCACAGACGAAGAGAAAGAGCTTTTGGAGGGAGTATATCTCACATCTTCACTGGACCTGCGTCCAGACAGCTTGCCAAGCAATTACTGGGAGGTACACAATTTTATCTACCATTCAAAATTTTTCGCTGAATGCTTGGAAATCTGTAGTGCAAGATGACAGCAAATGATAAATTGCTTTCGAAGCGGCCGATGGCCTCCAATAGCATGCCCTTGTCACGTAGTATCTATCAATGTTTATGGTACGAGTAATATCTAGCTGTTCATCTCGGATGTTGAAAAGGTCAAGAGAAATAAGGACGCTACACTCACTATAATCGACCATATTTCTGCTCATGGCATAAGTAAAACTGATGCCTCCAAAACCATTCTATCCTTGGAACACAACTACTCAGGCGGCAAAATTGGTTACCAGATGCTCATCCCGCCAATATATCTGGAGAAGTCGTACTATTATAGCGAGCGTAAGTCAGGATGGGGAACGAATAGTCTCGGTATAAAGGCCTGGTGTTATCAGTTTGGTGAGTGGAAAAAAATCCAGTCGCTTTGATTTTGGAAATCAAATTTTTCCTCCACTCGCAACCGGGACCCGATACCTATTACTAATCCCGGAGCGCCATTACCAAGTGTAACCTCGATCATCCTCCTTCATCGTACTGCATGTCACGCAAAGTACTCGAGTCATATTTGAAGGACAGAGGAAAATCTGTACCGAAGCCGGGATTTCAAGGAGAATCCCTCCCTGATGCCTCTGTTGGTCATTTTCGGTCAGATACCTCACGCAGCACCTACGAACTTTGTCGTCGTTGGGAGATAGCAGCTCAACAGTATGGAGATAAAAAACTTATGCAGGCTCGTGTTCTCGGGTACATGCTCTACTACTCTCCTACCGATGCTGCTCGTGCTGCTATCACTCGAGCCATTTTGTCTTGTAATGACAATGGCGAGCAACTCTCGGAGCTAGCTGAACTGTACACAATTTTTTTCATCCGCTGCTGTGAGTCTATTTATTCCAATATTGGCTGTGAAATGTTCTCACTTTTGCTTTATCACCTCAGTCAGAAAGTTCAAGGGACGAACTCCAACTACTCAGAGCCATCCCAGTCCAGACTCCTTTGACGTCATGAAGAATGTTATTTTGAGTAAGCTAAATCAGGCTCCTGAAAATCATAGTGAAGCACGGGCCCATGTAAGAAGACCAATTATTCCACTACATTGACATTCACCAACCCTTCGCATGTGATAGGCTCTCTTACGAGATGGCTTCCGGGATCCTTTCACAGGAAAATATGATTACTTGGCTGAACAATTCGATGCTGTTGATCCTCCTGAGCTGTTACTTGAATTCGGTTGTGCTAGTCTTCAAGTTGTGCATATTGCTCCGGATTCAACTTATTTCAGACTCGAAGGGGTGAAGGTATGTTTGTGACCTTAGCTGTCATTGCTTTTCATTTACCCCTATTAGACAGACTACGCTGCCTCCATTACAGCTATTTTGCAACAATTCGGCTACAACTTCGAGAAATTCAAAGGCGCTAAGGTTCATTCCCTCTGCAACCTTATTACAATGTCCCTTGACATGCATGATGCTTTTGATCAGCTAAGAATTTATTTAGAGGAGATTGTAAGCTGTGCCTCATTTTTATGTCTGATTTCAATTTCCATTAATGGTTCTTATGGAAAGGGAACAAACACCTACCAAGTGAAAGGGTTTAAGCAAACACAGATGGTTCCCGGACATGATATAAAGTTTTCTACTGATGATCCCGAATTCTACCCTGTACCTGATCGTGAACTCATTGCGCTTCATGCTATGTGTGCTAAGGTGGCGCATATGTCCGGAGCTGGTGCTTATGTAGAAGACCTCGATCGAGATGTTGAAGACTTGGGTGTGTTGGCAAGCAATGGTGGATCGGCAGATGTTCTCTCACATGCACTTGCTGTTGTTGCGGATTTTTCTTATCCTCATTATGCTGCTGTAGGGTAACTGTACAAACATTGATCCGAGATGAGTCACTAGAAGAGGCTTATCAGAGGATAAGTCAGCCAGCAGTGTAAGTTGACTAGCACCTATCTTTTCACATCCTGCAACTTTTTGCATACTTTGTGTAGTCTTATCTTTTTGCTCATAATCTGTTAAGATTATGTATACCAAGGATCCTAGGGCTGGAAGAGGTGGGATCCAGTTGTACCTGGGCACAGAACTTTTGCTGTGACCCCTGCAGCACCAGTCCCATGCAGTGCCGCACAGTTCCGCGCAGTTCTGTGCAACTTTATGCAGTTCCGTGCAATCTGTAAATATACAATATTGTGTACAAAATTCTACCACATAGTCATATTGCTTCTCAATTTGAGCTCTAGACAATGATATTGTGCAATGGAGCTCTATAGGTCCAATTTGATTCTCCTATCCTAAAATTTTATCCAATCCTTAAGTTTGTTCAGTATCACTGGATCACTAACTAAACTATCTATTCTGGTGTCTTACTAACAATGATTCAACAATTAAGAGCAAAGATATGATCAAGCAGATATTCTGAAGCTTATCTGCTTCATAATCTTCAGATGTGAGTAATTGTTATTTGTGAGATATTCTATGTAGTCATTGCCAATGGGATTCTTATTGCTCTGATTGTTAGTAAAAGCTGGGTGCAGAAGTTACATGTAGGATCTGCACTAGTTATATGCAGATCAGCACAAGTTACATGCAGGATACATGCAAGTTATATGCAGGTCTGTGCAAGTTAAGTGTGGATCTGGGCATGTTAGGTGCAGATCTGCACAAGTTACATGCAGATCCATGCAGATTGAGGCACAGAACTTTTGCAGTAACAGTTTCTGCAAAGTAACTGCCACACTTCACTACAGTTCTGTCTACATTTAAATGTATCTCAGTTGCCTGTCTCATGGTTCTAAGCTTATTTTTTGTTCAATTGTTTTATGTGTTGTAAAGCCCTTTTGAGTAGAGAAATCAAGACATGCTCCCACCAGAATAAAAGGCTGGTATACTCTTCAGCATTATATGAGCCAATCAATGTCATGCTATTGAAATTTCCAACAAGAGATCAAATGACAGTAACATGTGAGTGCAGGCCACTGCACCATTGTGCATAGCAAAAACTCAGCTCCTTTCTTGGGAATTATTAAATATTATGGAATCAAAAAAATGGGGCACTTTCATGCCCTGACCTACTTTCCCTACTTTCCCTAACCTTGGAGAACCTCCCTCCATCTCTCCATTATCAGATCCTTCATTGCAGGACCTCCCTTGTACCTCCTCCACAAGTTCCCTTACCTCACCTCGACCCCCTCGACAACTCACTGTACCTCTCATGATACAGGCATGTACCTATCCCCTTTGGGATCAGAACCCTCCCATCACACTACCTCCATTAGTAACTAATCTCAATCACCTACTTTACACATACCAGATTCCCCGATGCTCCCTTGTTAACTTCTCTATACCTATTTAAGCAGTCCTGTAGCATCCCAAATGCCAGCTTGGTATATTTTGATCACACACCCTTTACATAAGTCCAGTCCCTGTCCCTTTGTACCTGCTACCTATATGGAATTTCCTTTACTCTCAGTCTCTCTATCTCAATCTCTTGTCTCTACGATTGCCTACACGATCTAATACATGCTTTTACTTCACGTTTAAGCATCCCCAGTGAGTTCCCAACCTCCCTCGAACAATTCTAAAGCTCCCCAAAACAACTATCATTTTGGTGAGCCAACTTCTCCAACATCTCTTTAAGCTCCCTACTTGCTCTACAAGTCTGGGAACCTTAATTCTAAGTAATGTCAAAGCTCCCTATGACATCCAACCGCATACTGCTTCTCTGTTACTACCTCCACCATTTGGAAACACCAACCACCACCGTATCTCATCCTGGGCTCCTACTCCTACAGCCTGCTCTAACAGTTCCACATTGACATTCGTAACTCCCACAACCTATAATGCAATTCTTTCAATGCTCCTTTGTTCTCAAGTTCGTCAATGCACTTCAATTACTGTCTAGGGACCTCCTCAAGGGTCATACTACTACTAGGTCATTCCAGTCCTTGGTTGCAGTTCCCATAGCTCCCTTCAAGCTCCAGCCTGCTTCTAGCATGCTACAATGTAAGCTATTCATACCAACTCCACCTAGAAGACCAATTCTGATCCAGGTCTTACAAGTGCCTTTCAGGCACCAACATTGAATGTTTTTTGAGAACAAAATAAAAGCAAATTTACATAAACTACAGTATATAGACTACGGAGTAACAGGGAGTAACTGAGTGAGACACTGTGAGATGAGAAAAAATAATTGTGACAGAATTACAGTGTGAAGTTCATGCCCAACCACTAACACAAAATCGAACTGAGCCAAAAGGCTACTATGACAGGATAATCGTCATAGGTGGTTGAAACTATATATACTGCATGTATTAAGACCTCTCTGCATGATCTTAACAGTTTACTGTCAAGTCTATGCCTCGGTGCCCCACTCTGCTGCTTGGTACCCTGAGATCTACCATCTATTGTAATCTCATCCTTATTGTTCTTTCTTGTTACACATTCCCTTTCTATCTAGTCTCTCTCTTATTGTCCTATTCTCTACCCTGCTGTCACGACAAGGCAGGAAGTGGGAGGCGGGAAGTCCGAATATGCCAAGGAGCAACAGTGGCAGAGTGAAGAGGCACAGATGAAAGAAATAATGATCTCGAACAACAGTGGGATAGCGTCAGAGGCCAATCACACCAGTAATCAAAAGGGAATCTAGTTGCCCAATGACCAAGTTAGATAGGTAGTATCTAAAAAGATACAAGTACTTGCCTAGTTGCCCAATGACCAAGAGGTCGAGATGGGGAACTAGGATCTGTCTACTGTCCTTTATATACTACTCTTGTCTAATGAGTAAGTGATTGTAAATAACAATGCGATATAGAACAAGAGTGAGGAATCAATATATACAAGTAATAATGAGTTGATAATGAATCATAATGAACTAATTGATGAATAAGGATGAGTTGTATGGAAGCATATGGAAACAAATGGAACTGGTGGGATGATTGTGTAATAAAGTACTGTCAAGTCCATGCCTCTGGTCTCCATTCCGCCGCTCGGTATTCCGAAGATCTACCTGTCATGCCCTGTCCTAAAAGCTCCCCTTGTTACCCTCCTAGACATCCCAGAACAGCATATCAGCTCCCTTACACCTCCCAAATAACCTCCCATAAACCTCCATGAACCACGGAACCTTAGCTAACCTCCCCACCAATGCTAACCTCCATCTGAAGCGACAGCTCCGTGGCTCGCGTATGCCGCCGGACAATCCCCTATCAATTTAGCCTCATGGGTTCTGCACTTCACGCCAGCCCCATTAGATGCCCGTTTATTACAATGTCCCGTTACTATTCAGCCCACCTATATAATTATCCTCTGTAACATAAGCGTCCCTAGCTTGGTATATTTTGAACACACACCCTTTTGCATAGGTCCAGTCCCTGTCCCTTTGTACCTGCTAACCATACGGATTTCTCTTTACTCTCTGTTTCTCTACCTCTGTTTCTCTTTACTCTCGTCTATTGTCTCTCTGATCGTCTATACGATCGAATATACACTTTTACTTCAAGTCTAAGCCTTCCGAGTGAGTCCCCGAGCTCCCTCGAACATTACTAAAGCTCCCCGACGCCTACACGCTTTGGTGAGCTACCCTACCCCAAACCTCCCTGTCACGAAGCGGCAGAGGCGGAGTGACTAACGGAGCGGGAAAGCGGAGCGACTAAGCAGAACGGTGAGGCGGAGCAACTGGACAAGGCAACAAGGCGGAGCGACTAAGCAGAACGGCGGCAGGCTGGTCCCAGATAATGACAGAGATATATTGAGTATCGTAGTCATAGGTAATAATAAGTAAGCACATACCTGGTCCCAGATAATGACAGAGAGGTCAAGATAAGGGACCAGGCTGTGGAGGGTTGGCTATATATACATAATCCGGTCTGCGAGAAACAACGATGTAATACTGTACAGTTTAGGAACAAGGAAGGTGGCGGAAGCCAATAGAAGGAGAAGATGGGTCAGGTGGATCAGTAATCGATGGATCAGTAATCGATGGGGGTTTGACAGTGATGGGATGATGTATCGTACAAGTAAAGGCGTCGACACGGTGAGAAAAGGAAAATGATAGGGGCTGCGTACTTTATGACATTACCCCCCTCCTTATGACCATTGCCCTCGATGGTCAAGGCTTTGCCGCTGTTGGGTGTTTTTTATGAAAGGCCCGAACAATTTTTGGTGCTCGACTGAGGTTGGCTGCGGGTTCCCAAGAGTTGTGCCCTGCGTCGTAACCTTTCCACTTAACCAAATATTCCAACTTCTTCCATCGAACCCGGCTGTCTAAGATCTCCTCTACTTTGTATTCCGGTTCGTCTTCATCCTCTAAGTATACCGGCTCTGGTGGTGTTGGTATTTCGCCATTAATGGGGTTACCTTTCCAGGGGTATAGTTTATCGACATGGAAGACGGGATGGAGGCGATCTAGGGATAGGGGAAGGTCAAGGCGGTAGTCTAAAGGGCCAATTTTCTCCAGAATGCGATAAGGGCCAAGCTGTCGATCTCCTAACTTTTCACTGGAAAGTTGAAGGTTAATGTCCTCCGCACTGAGCCAGACTAGGTCTCCAACTTTAAATTGATGAGCTTTCCGCTTCCCGCGTTCGTATCCCTCCTTCTGTTGTTTCTTTCCTAGGTGTAAGGCAGCTCCGGCATCTTGTCGCGCTTCTCGGAGAATCCGTATACGGTCATCCACAGCTGGAATACCGCTGCATTGGCCCACTGGGATATTGAACAGGGGAAGATAGCCGTAGGTTAGCTCGAACGGGGACATGCCTAGCGCAGAATGAGTCTGTGAGTTGATCACAAACTCCGCCACGGGAAGGTGCTCTGCCCAGTCATCTTGTCGTCATCCTACATAGAGGCGGATGTATTTCTCTACTTCCTGATTT